GGGGGGGGGGGGGGGGGGGGAAGAATTTTCTTTCCTTTGCCTTTCAAATTCCCCTGCATTTCACTTCCATTCCTCTAAATCAAACACAACTCTGTTTTTCTCTCTGTGTTTACCTTTTCTTCGAGCAATAAAAAAAACTTGCTTTTGCTGATACAACCTGAAGCCCATCCGTTTGGCATCGGATAAAATTCACCCAACAGGGAAGTATCAGAAACAGGGAAAAGGTACTGCTCGGTTTATGTCTCAAAAAACAATATCTAAAAATTATTTTTAGTGTTTTTTGTGTAACAGAACTTGTTTGGTTATATGATTCCAAAAATAGTTCTATGGAATACAAAACAGTAAAACTTATTTAGACAGCACCTCAAAACACAATGAAAACAAAAAAATGGTGATAGTAGAAGCGAGGTGGTGGTGGTGGAAGTGTGATGCTGATTGTAAGTGTGGAAAACTCAGACTAGCTCTCCAGAAAAGGTGACAGGATTCAACTCATTTCAAGGCCAAAAAAAAAAAATTGTTGCAACAGTCCTACATATATAATGAAACGATTCGTAATCATCAGCTGCAAAGAAAATTACAAGTGCTGACTGGCATTATTCTAAAGAAAAATGCCCCGACAATTATATATGTCGTTTCATCCAAAAATTGGTCAAACTCTGCTTTCCAAAGGGTACAACCGCCAGTGTAATTATTGAAAGAATGAAATACAGTAGCATGGGCACGTCTCAATACTCTTCTAACTTCGAGAGAATAGAGTGAACACGCATACCTCATTAACTCAAATGGGTTGAAGAAGTCTCCTCGCTTAGATCACAACACAATATCCTTAGAGTCCAAGGACCAAATCTGAAGGCAGTGAGCCGACAAAGTCGAATATTGCAGTCCAATTTTCAAGCTGTGGCTTTGGGTTTTGTTTTCTGCTTCTTGGCATCTAGAGCCGCTAATCCTGTGCCCAATCCAACAGGAGTCTGATCTTGTTGCTCTGGTCGAGATTGGTCCTCGGGGGCAGCTTCAGTTCCACTTGAAGAATGACCATTGACTTCTTTCTTTATTCTATCAGTTCCCTCATTGCTCACAGCATCTGGTGTCATTCCTGAATTTATTATGTCAAGGAGATGTGTAAGTGGAGGCAAAGCTTGGACAGGAACACCATGTGGTCGTATCAAGAGGCCCCTTGCTGCAGCTTTCTTCCTCATTTCTGCTGCAGCACGGGCGGCCCTTTCATCAACTCCCCTCCCTCGAGGAACGGCCTCACCAATAATTGCTGAATTCAATGATTTGTTCAAAGATGCACTAGAACTCCCAGATCCTCCAGCTGCAGCAGCTTGAAACGCATGTATCAGGTCAGGATGGGCCTGTCAAGGACAAATAACTTCAAATATGACTGTTTCAGCTTGGAAAAAAATTGAACGAAAATCCTTGGTAGGACAAACAATCAAACTATTGTATTCTATCAATTTCTTAAATGGTCTGTTTGTTTAGTGGGATAATGGAAGAAAATGCAAGAAAGAAAAAACTTTCAATGTGTTTGGTTAAAATGCAATGGAAAAAAATAGTTGTGATCTATAATTTAACTCTTCATTTTACCCTTATTTTCATTAAAAATACAATTGGTTATTAATTTTGGAAAAGCTTGTACAGGTTATGTTAACCATATAATATTGGCCTGAAGATGTAGGTTCGTGCCAATCCTTGTCCCGAATTAGGTTAGGAGCCATTTTTTTATATTTTAACTTTTAATTATAATACATATTTTTTTATTCTTTAAACCGCTTTAATATAATTAAGGGTAATTTAGACAATTGAAAAAAATTTCTTATAACTTTCCTTTCTTTTAAACAATACAACGAAATTTTTTTTAAACTTTCTTACAAGTTTTTCATACTAACTAAATACATGCATGAAAATATTTTCCTACATTTTCTTTCATTTACTTCACTTTCTATCACTTTCACTTTCTATCATTTTTCTCTTTCTAACCAAATGGACCTAAACTATTTACAAGTGTCCAAAAGTTGCTGGAGACAAAAAACCAGACTGTCCTGCATCTGTAGATGGCAATGCATAATCCAGGCAGGGTAAAAAGTAGCACAACCAGGGTATTGGTTCTTATCACCTAATAGTGGATCATACATGCAAGATTTGTAGAAAGTACAAAAGAGGGGAAACACAAAGATACAGTAAACAGAACAAGTAACGAAAAATAACATTTTTGCAAGTTTTTATCCCCTAGTGGCTATGCTATTGCAAATTACTAAAATTTCATGCTTTACATTTCACTGCCGCTCTGCTACAGGGCATCCAACTCCCAAACAAACTGTGCTACATTTTTCCTTTCCAAAATATAAAGCAAAAAGGGAAGCAAGAGGAAGGAAATGGGAAAGTGGGGAATGAGGGTATAGAGGCACCTACCTTAAAAAAATCAATCGCTTTTTGAGTGTTTAAAGCTTGACCTTTCTGCTTCTGTGCATTCATCTGTCAATGTATGATTTACAATTAAATGGACATCTAAAAGTAAAGAATAAAGTGAGGGCACCAAGACTGGAAATGAGGTGGGGGCTACAAGAGAGCATGCATTTACCTGCAATTCACGCATCTTAAATGTCTTCATCCAGTTCTGTGAATCACGTGTTCTAGAATCCTCCTCTCCAAGTTGTTTGACAAGTATATCATATGTCTTCTTTTCATGCTGTCATGCCAAAGAGCATAATTTGATCAACTTCATATATTCTGCAGCCATTCATGAATTTTACACAACAAATATCCCAACATAGCACATGCCTGGTGAGATAGCTTGAAGGCACCCATACAGTTGAATGCAATGGCCAGGGCATGGTAGCACACAGCAGTTTGAATATGCTCCTCGCCTAGGAGTGTTTGGTTCTTTTTCAAGGCTTCTTGCAGATAACGAAGAGCTGTGTTCATATTTCCAATATCTTGGTACATCATTGCAACATTGATAAAAGTTGCAGCCACATCAGGGTGATCTGGGCCAGAAGACAAGCTTAGTAGTAGCAATGCCCGGGACATGTGACGCAGTGCGAGTTCTGTTTGGTTCAGCCCATGGTAGAAAAGAGCCATATTGCCATAGCTGCAATAAATCACAGCAGACCAATAAATCATAGCAGACCAAGGTAACCAAGGAAAAATGGAAGACAATTATTAACTGTTAAAAGTGCACATAGAGAGCAAGTGTCTGCACATGTCCAATGGTAATTGTTTTCAATCTTTGAATTAGATGGTCACTCCATTCCAAGTATGGTTTTTGGTCTTTCAAACACTCTACTAAAAAAGGACAACACCATCTTGATTGTGTGTTGAAAAAGACCTTGATAAAGAAGTCAATATAATAAAGAATACGAAGGCAAAGAATTAGTGCCTGTGAGCAGTGTCAGGGTGGTCCAGACCAAGGCAGCGTTCGTTTATAATAAGTTCCTTGTGTTGTTGCATTATGGCACTAGCCATATCTCCAGCATGATAGAGAACCATGGCAAGGTAGCTGAAAAGGGAAAAAGTTATTCACAAGATAAGTCTTAACAAGTATACTTCCATTGAAAAATTAAAACACACATTCCTGAAATAGATGTGCCTCGAAGTTTGAGAATCCAATTTTAAAACAACAAAATTATGTTGAAGAAATTCAGCAATGGCTTTTTTTTTTTGAAGACTCCCCACATTTTGAACATACTAGAAGCATTTGCCATCCAACATGAAGCAATGCCCAACTAAAGTAATTGTCTATAGAAACACTGAACTGACACCTGTATGCATTTTTGGTTAAAACAAGAGTTAAAAAAGCAATCCATAGAAAGATTTGGCGCTGCTCACTAAATTCTGTGGTTAATATTTGTAAATCGGTAAGCATAAACGGTAAGAAGCCAAAAAAAACAGTAGCAGTAAATCAGTTAAGCCAGTTGTTGAAGTATGAGTGCAGGTCCTATTCTGTATCGGGAAACTCCAGCAATCCGGAGTAAGAGGGAATAAGGAATCTCATAATATATTCCTAAAGTGTCAAGGGAACCGGGCAGTTGGATGATAATTACCGACAACAGTTAGCAACCTCCCGATGCATTGGACCAGTCACCTGCAAATCCATCACAGACGGGTCGTTAAACTTAATGAAGCAAGTAAAATCAAGGGATAGCTAAATTCAAAAAAGATTTAAACAGTATACCTGCTGAAGCATCGTAAATGCTTCAGAAAATAACGCATAGGCCTCACTAAGCATTCCCTGTCATCAGTGGCGAAGAAATGTCAGAATTAGAATTTCGGGCAATCCATGTCCTGTTTCCTAATATATGTTGTCCCACCCTGATTTGGTATTAAAATTTTCTTTTAATCTTAACAGAGTGACATAGTTTTAAATAACAGTAATATTGTAATGGTAACAGTTTAATAGACGGGATGTAACAAGTGTTACGTAACGACAATGGAAAGCAGAGGCATATATTTTTTTCCTTCCATTCAAGCCTTTCTCAAAAAGCAAATTTATGCATGTTTCAACTCCAAAAATATGCAAATATGGACTTTTAGTGGTTTGTTCAATTATTTATTGAATCATAACATGATATTTACATGTGAAATAAAATTATCTTGTACTTTAATCATCATATAATGAGTTTTTTAGTGCCTTTAAGTCAATCTACTTACTATTCCTTGAAAAATTTGGAAACCATGATATTTATCTGGCTATGGGTCTATATCCTTAAAAGAAAAGAAAAAGTAAACAAAAACAAAATAAATAAAAAAATCTGCTAATTCCATTGGGCAATTCTAGACCCCATTTTGTCAATTGGAATAAAGTACACTTATTACATCTGTTATATGTAGAAGTACTGTAAAAGAATCCAATACCGAAAAGAGAGATTTGGGTCTCTATTTTGAAGAGAGACCAGATCTACACCTTATCCTCTTCATATTTTCTTCTGCTCCTTTTACATGATTCTTCTTATTGGTTTTCTTTTCCTTTTTTGTTTTGGTTGTAAAATGAAGATCTGATGGTTTTTGCGAGAAACTAGTGACCACCCCGATATGCGTAAAGTAATGACCGTCACACCATGGACCACGGTAACAGTTGTTAAGGAAGATGAAAAATTTTATCCATTGAATCGGGGTGTAATGGTATCAGAGGCCACCAATACTGTTCCATAATAGCCATTACGCACTGGTTGATTTTTAAAACCATGGCATTACTACTTTCCTGCAATCTCACAATTATTACAAACAGTTCAGGCTCTGTATATTTTTGCTGTGAGATTTGATAATATGGCAGCAACAAACTATATATTTGTATTAAATCATGTTGATTAAAAAGAACAGTGCCTACCTCAGCCAACTGAACCTTTCCTGTTTCCACAAGGTCCTTGGCCTCTGAACAAATCGGAATGGAATGCTTCACCACTGGTTGTACATTCAAAATATCTGACGTTTGAAAAGGTGCCACAGCACTAAGATCATATTTACGAGCTGCAACGGTTATGCCAACCTGTTAAGATTACCAAATCAAAACATTATGCAAAGCACTCGAGAGAAATCTCTACCGTAATAGTAAACAAATCTAAGCCATCATTCTGAGAGCCAAAATGGCTACCAAGAACCTAAAAGCTACTGTGTAAACTTTTAAGTATTACCACGATTTTTTTCTTAGAACTGAGAACCAAACACCCTTAACTGAAAACGAAGTAGTCCATAAGAAAGAAAGAAAGAAAAGGTGGACAAGTCATCCAACCCACAAGAAGGGGTGGACAGCTGCTGTCCCAACAACCATTTGATTTTTCTTTTCTAATGGACTATAAATAGGGAGAAAACAACATTCACCTTCCATAAAACTGACCCTGCACTAGGCCAACTAACGTTTGCAAAATCTCAGTGACAGGGGCACCTTTCATCATCCCCAGACATCAAATATATTTCCAATTGGTAGTGAGAAGATTTATATATCGAGCAATCAGGTAACAAGTTCTAATTAGCTTAATTGAATATCACTTTTTCGAATGATTAATTTCAAAATGCATAAACTGGGGATTAAAAGTTTCCATAGATCAAAGATTAATTTGGGATGCTTGAAAGCTCTCTGAAATGGACTTCGTAGAAAATTCTTTTGTGCAAAAGAAAGAAAGAAATACTTCTACTAAACATTGTTTTTGTTTTGTAATTTAAGAACTAGAAGTGATTTAACCAAAAAAATCTCATCACTAAGTTGCAAACTACCAGGGAATTATATAAATCCAAATTCTGACATTGTTTGGACAGATGAATTTATTGAATATGACGAGAGAATTTTTTATGGCAAATATCATCCTTCATGATTTTCTGCTCATGAACCCCACATGATCAAAGGTTCAGCTCTTTCTATGATATAGTAACAGTAGAAAAGAAAGAAAAGGGAGGACGGGAAAAACATCAGCATAAATAATGTGTTCAGGTATCATAAAGAACAGCTATTTATCCAGGTTGAAAATAAAGGACAGGGATTAATGTGTATATGTGCCCGTGTGTTTGTCAGAGAGAGATAGAGAGAGAGAGAGAGAGGACTTAAATATGATAATATTGAGAGAATGCAATCAAATTCATCCTAAACAAATTATGCAGCCTTTCTGGCAACTAATTAGGCAAATCAATTTTAGTATTATGATAGCATGAGAATGCATTATCATAATGGCCAAAAAACACCCAGAGGAACTAATTATTGAGCAAGGTAAATAATGGAACCACGCACTAAACAAAACATTGAGCATTGAATGAAACACTTGCAAGAATAGCATGATGAGAATTTAAAAATTCCCTTCAGACAGAAATTCAAGTTTTAAAAAATAGTTTTACAACATGAAACTGAAATGTATTGGAAGAGAGCTCATTTCATAATCACCTTTTGGCAAAAGTTGCGTATGACTGAAATTGTCTTTGCCCGTGACTTTGCATCCTCCAGCAACTCAAACTACGAGGGAAAATAAGCTCAAACAATAAACTAATGAACAACATCATCAAAGATGCATAGTATAAGCCATGCAGACTCGAGTTTATGATACCTGGTATTTTAGTTTTGCAAATTCTTGAATGTCAGACCACAAACTATCAGACGTAATACTCATATATGACGACAGTTTCTTTCTTACTGACCCTCCACTTTTCCACCTTGCCTGCCCCCTTGGAGATTTGCTTGAAGCATGATGGCCAAGGTGATCCTGTAGAATTTGTAAGCAGTATTATGCGTCAAAATTTAAAACTTGATGCAAGTTCCGTTAAAATATCAGATGTGGTGGCAAATTAGTCACAGAATTGACCTATCTTAGGATAAACCATTTCTTCCATAGCTATAAACTCAACCCAGCTTAACAAAGTCTTGTCCCAATTTTTTGAGGGTTGGCCATAAGAATCTAATTTTGCCTTTTGTGCCCTATTAAGGGCACCATATTTTCTTCCTTATCTATGGACCATCAAAAAACTTCACATATCTCGGTGTTCTGTAGATGCATTCAAGAAGTCTTTTTGTTAAAATGCAGAGCAGGGAGATGAAATTACAGGATCATGAAGCTCATAACAGAAGACCAGATCACAATTAAAAAACCAATACGAATGAACCAGGAGAAAATCAGTTGTCTAGTCCATATTTTTGTACCTTTGGGGTTCTGGATTGTGTACTGTTAGAGAGACCTTTTACAGATACACCTTGAGAATTTCCGAAGAAACAATTGAAGAAATGTGAAATTGCATGCCCAAGATCATGATCCTCTGAATCTCTCAAGACATCCTGCAGGACCACAGAAAGTAATGTAATGATAAATAGATAAACCACCAACATACCATGCAACAATTTTATAAGCCAACATGTGTGTAAGAGAGATTTAGGTGTCGGTCCATCCATGCTATGCTAACATCAGTCAGACTAATTCAATGGTTTCTGAGGGCGAAATTACCATATAATGTATGATAAAATTATCAGATATCAGAGGTGGCAATTAAAAACAACAAAGAAACAAGGGCTCTAGGAATGAAATTGGAGGCAACATGCACAATTCATAGTTTCAAAACAAGACAGCATCCAAGAAATAAATATAATAATACGTGTTCCTCATGACCAGGATGATAATTTCGTTGAAGTAAAGAGACAAGGAGAGAAAGAAAAAAGGAATACATTACTATAGCTAATAGTCTGACTGAAACAATTGAACCCAAAATACACACTGAAGGCCCTTATATAGTAGGCCAACACAGAATAAAGTAAACATCTAAACTACCCCTAATATTAATACTCTGACACCCTTCCCCCCCCCCCCCCCCCCCCCCCTCCCCACCCCCCCACCCCCC